TGTCCTATACTGTTCTGGAAGAGGACCCGGATGAAGTCTGAACCCTGTGAGCTGAAGCTGGTTTAAAAGGGTCAACTCCTTGCCTCCTACTGGAGGTTTCTCTATCAAACCTCTGAACATAAATAAAATACAATTGAAAGGGAGTTTAGTCGAAATCTTAAATAACTCTTCATTTAAAAAGTGTAATTTCGATTCACGACGGTTTCTATAAATGATTTGTTTGATGAGGACAATGAGAAATCCATATTTATTTATCTCTTCAAAATTTCCACAAAGTTGACTTGCGCATTTCTGCATCTGAGCTATTGGGAGAGAATTATCAGAAAAAAACACTACAAGCTAAAAAAACAAGATATATTCCACATTCCACATTGTCAAACAAATAGAGGTTAAAAGGGTATAACTGTCATGGTGGGTCACTGGTAATCACAGCAACTATCCCTACCTTTAAAATTTTAAATCAGGGTTCCTCCCTCGTTTTAAAATTGCCAGGTCAACTGGCAAAATTAGCAAAATAAATTGCTTTTTCATTTATAATGGAAGTTTTTTTTTGATCAAATCGGGAATATTTTTAAAAATGAAAATCAGTTGAAAAGCATCCTAATTTAAATATAATTTGTTTATAAGATATCAAGGGGGCTGGAAATAGGAAACACTGACGAAGAATGACTCATGTCAATCAACGTGTTGTTGGTGGAGTATTTAAATTACAGGGACTGTGAAGTGTGTAATCTGAGTAATAACAAGAAAGATATCGTCGATTTTCTATCTTCAGGTTGATAGTGATTTTCTGCAACATTAATCAAAAAGTCACAAGCAATACAAACAGAAATTGAATATTACAATTTTTAAGATAAATAAATAGTTTGGCTTAAGGTTTACTACTTACGGGGTATCCGTGTAAATCGTGGATTATTATTATTAAGACCGACAGCTTACCTTTAAGACACAAAGGAATTGAGTCTTTGCCACAAACTCTGATTTTCCAATTCCTATTTCTGTGCAGTCCTATGTCGCAGACCTTAGATATTTCAAACTTTGAAATATTCTTGATTAAATAATCTAAGTTTGAAATATCAAAGGTTTACACTAATCGATCGCAATGATATATGGATTGTGAAAAAGACTCAATTCCTTTAAAGTCAATTTCAATGTTTTCATGAACTAAATAGTTTGCGGACCTGAGAGAACTGTTGTCTTGGGATCCAGGTGTATCCACTATACCAGGTAGACCAGGTAGAAAACTGGATAAACTATCCTGATAAATATATATATATATATTCCAGGTGTATCCACTATACCAGGTAGACTAGGTAGAAAACTGGATAAACTGTCCTAATAAATAATTTTGGAGACAACTTTTTGCAGTTCAAAGCATTTCCTGAGGTCATGTGAGGTCCCACACAAAATTTGGGCCCGATCGTTTCAACCGTTCATTGGTCACAAACAAACTAACAGACAAAGCAATGCATAAAATTTCTAAACTTCAAGTATGCTTCTCGTCCGTACTCGATTTTCATTTCATTAATTATAAATACATATATATATAATTTTATAATTTTATATAATTATAATTATTAATTTTATGGATATTTTTCGTGGATTTCAAAAAACCGAACTTTATATAAAATTCTAACCATCCCTGTATCAAGTCAGGTCCCACAAAAAATTTGGGCCCGATCGGTTCAGCTGTTTTGACGATTATCGGTTACAAACACCCACCCACCCAAACAAACAGACAAGCAAAGTATATATATAGATGAATACAAAGTCAAACCAATAAATTAACAAACAAAAAAACAAATAATGATAAAAAAGACTCATTGAAAAATTCCTGTCATTAAGCAAATAGAAATCAAGTTTACCAATCATAGTTTTTTTTGTTTTTCGGTGGTGGGGGGGGGGAGATTAACCCCCTCCCTCTCAAAAACCTAGGTCAATACCTTCATCTTTTTTGATGCCAGCTTGTTAAAGGAGTGTTCCAGGTTTCTGCTTGCCATCAGGTTGGTAGCTCCTAATATAATGACAAATCATAATTGTTTTAAAGCATTGAATTCATTGGTTCAAATGGATGCATTTAGGGTAGATTTCCATGTCTGTATTGATTGTTTAAGACCTGGAGTCATAATCAGGCGCGGCTTATGATATTTTCTCAGGGGGAAATAATTGAAATATTGCGCGGGAAAAGCGCCAAAATTTCTTATCCCCTCTGGCAAAAAATCCCTCCTCCCCCCTGGAATTCATTAAAGGAAATTTGGTCATTTTTATGTCAAAACCTTCAGCTGAGGGGGGGGGGGGTGGAATATGTGTTAGCAAGATTTAGATTTTTATAAAAAATATTCATTTTGATTGAAAAAGTGTCGCCAACGGGAAAATTTGTTTGAATCTATTCTTTAAACTCTAAATTATAGGGCTATAGGGTGTCTGCTCTCTTTTCTTGCACTCCTAAACCACCTCCGGTCGTAATTCAAGTAACTTGAATTGGTTACATTGGAACCATTGACACATTTTATATATATTTTACATATTATATATATGAATTGAAAAGTGATTAGATTGTTTCAAATATTTGAATAAGTTGTTCACTTCATGCATAAGTTACATTCAAACATTGTATGCTTAGTTAAATAAAGGTTGCATTAATTGCATTAATTGCATTAATTGCATTATTTGTATTTATTATTTACATTTGCACTAATTTAATTAATTGGATGGTTTATATTTACTGAAAAGATTGCATTGGGTTGTTACAAATTTGTTCCAATGGTTACACGATAACATCGATTGATTTGTACATAATTGATTGATTAATTGAATTAATTAACGAAATAAATTGATTTCATTAATTGAACTGATTTCCTGAGGGGTCCATATAATTCCATCTGATCAATCCCAAATGTTGATTGATTGATATTAGGGGCAGAAATAAACCATGTTGTTATTGTAAACAATTGGAAGTATAATGTCAAGTTTTAGAAAAAAAACTCCATACTGCAGAATGTTTACTGCAAGGGAGTATATCATTATTTATCTCTTATATTAACTATTGATATTTACATCTTTCAACACTCCAAATGCAGTGCACATTTCTGAAGCCTAGTACACGTACATAAAAACTTGTCAAAGTTCCCAATGACATATAAAGTGTACTTTCATGCCTCTAAATGTACTTTCAACCCCGATCCCATTTGGGATCAGAAATGGAATTATATGGACCCCTGGATTTCCTTCTTTATATATTTGATTTGATTTGACAACGTTTATTTAAATTTGATCACTTAATTTAATTTTTCAAATTATTTAATTGATTTATCCAAGTTTATTTATACCTGTTACATCACTGATTGCAATGTTGTCTGGTTTAAGAAGATAGAAGGGTAGAGGTTTATTAATTTGCAGTTTTACTTTCAACATTCCTAAATAGATAGGTAGATACTAGATAGATAGAGTAAGATATAGATACATTTATAGATAGATGTATAGATAGAAGGATAGATAGATAGATAGATAGATATATAGAGAAAATGGTTTATTAATCTGCAAATGTACTTTCAACATGCCTAAACTTAACCAGATTAATAACTTAAAAAATAATTTTTAATGAATTATTAACATGTGACACATGTTATTACATCCATTTATCAAGGGCTTTTCAAAAAAATAAATTTTAGCCCTAAAGCTTTAAAAAAATGGTGTTAGCATTTCAGTTTTATTAAAAATCGACCTGCGGTTTGAGTGTCCTTCACCCTACCTTATGCATAAAAAAAGTTGCTAAACTTTTCATAACTTTGATGATGAAAAAATGAAAAAGTTTTAGCGTTCAAATGACCAGCTGTTTTTAAGTTATCTAGAAAAAACCAAAGGGGGTGGAAAACAGCCCTCCAGCCGTGATAGGGTTAAGGACACAAAACAGAAATTGAGATAATGTTTTTTTTTTGCAGGCCTTCATCTGATTAACAATGCTCATGTCGTTTAAATATCTTAAAAATTGCTGAATTCTAACGACTTCCTTCTCTGCTTTTGCTGCAAAAACCGTTAATCACTTCGAAAGAGAAACTACAATTTTGAGATATACAAACTATGATATTATCATCATTTTACTTTAACGTAGTAAAAAAGAGTACCATTGTAAATGGAAGATGCAAATAGATTTTTTAACGGAAAGTCACTTGAATACATGAACAGTCCCTAGAATACATGAACAGTCCCTTGAATACATTAAGAGTCCCTTGAATACATGAACAGTCCCTTGAATACATGAAGAGTCCCTTGAATACATGAACAGTCCCTTGAATACATGAACAGTCCCTTGAATACATGAAGAGTCACTTGAATACATGAACAGTCCCTTGAATACATGAACAGTCCCTTGAATACATGAACAGTCCCTTGAATACATACATGAAGAGTCACTTGACTTGAATACATGAACAGTCCCTTGAATACATGAACAGTCCCTTGAATAGGTTAAAAACTGACCTGGATCTGTAGAGTTAATGCTGGGAGAACTAGAACCCCTACTCGGGGAATTCTTTGGAGAGAAAGTTTCCATTGTAAATTATTTTTCACGTTGTTTCTTTACTTCAGATCTACTTGTTCAGCTGTAGACGCACTGTAGTCTACAGGGTGACCAGTAGATATAGGAGAAGGGTGATCCAAACTTCAATAACCATTTACACCTTATAGATCAACCTAGGAATAAATATACTACAGGGTGACAAGTAGATAAAGGAGAAGGGTGATCCAAACTTCAATAACCATTTACACCTTACAGATCAACCTAGGAATAAATATACTACAGGGTGACCAGTGATAAAGGAGAAGGGTGATCCAAACTTCAATAACCATTTACACTTTACAGATCAACCTAGGAATAAATATACTACAGGGTGACCAGTAGATAAAGGAGAAGGGTGATCCAAACTTCAATAACCATTTACACCTTACAGATCAACCTAGGAATAATATTACTACAGGGTGACCAGTAGATAGCATAAGCTAAATTGTCTCAAAGAACACTCATTTACCATCTTACAGAAACACTAACCGTAATCTCAAATGACTCTCCATTGAAAGACTCGAGTGTTTGATTCAAAACGGGGTTCTTTACAGCTTTGCCTATTTAAGAATGACATAGATAACTAAATTTATCTTAAATTGGATATTTGATTGTTTTCAATTCTGGTTTCTCTATTTTTGATCAGATAAAGGTTTAAAGGGTACCGATGAGATTGTGAATCAGGCGTGCTCAATTTTAATATAAAGGTCACTTGATGTTACGTTTACAGTCCTTGTATTCCTTAATTATACCTGTAACCTCGCAAAAATCTCCTGATCAATTATCTCGTCCTCGTCGCTTAGTTCGTCCTCGTCACTCTGATCGTCCTCAACACCTTGATGTGCGTCAACCTGGAACAAACATGCGTAATACTTTTTTGCGTCAGTCTAGTAATTGTTAGCGTTTGACCTGAACATTTTTTCGTCAGTCGAGAATTTATGTTAATTGCATATTAAGTGTTAGGTGGGAGGCAGGGGTGTATATTTTTCTGTGTTCCCCCTACCCCCAAAGAAATGGGGTTGGGTGTATATTTATGAGCTTTCATTGGGTTTGGGGGGAAAAAATGAAGGAAAAAGGTGGAAGAAAGGAGAAGAGGGAAAGGAAAAGGGGGAAGAGGGAAGGGAAAAGGGGGAAGAGGGAAGGGAAAAGGGGGAAGAGAGAAGGGGAAAGAGATGATTTGCATCTTTCCACAAAAAAAAACTTAACAAACACTAATAGAAATCCTTATAAAAAATCTTAGGGGTAACCTTGAAGTTGACTTTTTTTAGGGCACCAAAACGTTCCTTTATAATACTAAAATCCAAAATTTTCTCTTCAAAGTTTGCACGGGCTTAAGAAACCTGTAAAATACACTTTTTTTATGTCGTGGATTTGGCCAAAAATATGAGTCTCATGACTAATATACACCCCTGGTGGGAGGCAAGGGGGAAGAATGAAGATAAACTCCAAACGAATGGAGGGGAGGAGGTGTAGAAATTGAACTTTCTTGTTTGGAATGTAAAAAATATAGTTTAAATCATGTTTGATCCTGAAATTCCACATATATTTCTATCCCCCCCCCCCTCTCCCTACCACCCCAAACAATTCCGATAGGGGAAGGGAGGGAGGACAACAAAATGTTACCCCCTCCCCCCCATAGGTTAAATCTTGTATTCAGTGTGCATCTACTATATCAAATGTGTAGAGAAGATACCTACCACAAATTCTACTCCGACGTTAAAGTTGAAAACCATATATGCAGCACTTATTATTATTGGCAGGCAGCATCTGGAAATGAAAACCATATAAGCAACACTTATTAATATAGGCAGGCAGCATCTGGAAATGAAAACCATATTACAGCACTTATTATTATTGGAAGGCAGAATCTGGAAATGAAAGCTATATAAGCAGCACTTATTATTATTGGCAGGCAGCATCTGGAAAAGAAACCCATATAAACAGCACTTATTATTATTGGCAGGCAGCATCTGGAAATGAAAACCATATATGCAGCACTTATTATAATGGGCAGGCAGCATCTGGAAATGAAAACTATATATGCAGCACTTATTGTTATAGGCAGGCAGCATCTGGAAATGAAAACCATATATGCAGCACTTATTTTTATTGGAAGGCAGCATCTGGAAATGAAAACAATAAAAACAGCACTTATTATTATTGGCAGGTAGCATCTGGAAATGAAAACCATATAAGCAGCACTTATTATTAAAGGCAGGCAGCATCTGGAAATGAAAACCATATATGCAGCACTTATTATTAAAGGCAGGCAGCATCTGGAAATGAAAACCATATAACAATCGTTCTCTAGGAATATACCAATCGTTCACTAGGACAGACCCGTTTAAATTTCTAAAACTGTCCTAATAATACCAAATTCACAACAATGTCCGCCACCCAGTAGAAAATTGTTACCTGGACTTATACGCAATATTAAATAGATTGAGAAGAGATATTTTCACTTTATCCATTCCTCAAAACATCCATTGTTTTTCTCTAATCACAAAAATAGTTTTACTTCACAAAATAATTATGAATACGACATAACACGCTTTAAAAACCACTTTTTTCCTTTTCTAAGCTTTAAAAAAAAACGATAAATTTTTGGCAAATGAAAGATTAAATATTATTTATCAAATTTATTTGATTAATTAGACTTTTATCTTAACAATGTCGGGATAAACTTAATTTTCTGAATGTCCAAAATTTAGTTTCCAAACAAACCGCCGCTAGTGAATAGATGGCGGCAAGTATTGTTGTGCTGCGCATATTTGGGGTAGGTCGTCTTTTATGGAAACACATGGAGGAAGAACTGGACTACAGTAGCATCAGAACTACGGATATTATTTCATGACTTACTTTATGAGTAATAAGGTAGACCTTTTAACTTTTCATTTTAACTTATAAAAATAATAAATATTTTTTGTTTTTTTTTTCAGGGTTACCGGAGGGGGTTAAAGCTTAATTTAAAAAAATACAAGTTAACTTTTTTTATCAATCAAAACGAGTTTGCTATTTAGAAATCAATATTCAAAAATTTTAGGTTTTGCGGGTTATTTAAACTAATTTTCAAAATAATATTTCTAAAGTTGGTCGGTTTGTATGGCACCACGTTTTGTGTAAAATGCAGCTCTTTGCACTTTGCAGACAGCTGATTGCAAACTTTTTTCTTCCTTAAAGTTTTTCCAAAAGTCAAATATCCTTATCAGTCTCAGACCTTAATTATCTTTTTTTGTTATTTTTCGTGTTGAGTCTATTGCTAACTTCACCGATTTTTGTAACAATTTTGTTATCAGCATTTAGTATCATGTACCTTGCATGCTAAATCATGTATCTTGCATGCTGAATCATGTACCTTGCATGCTTAATCATGTACCTCATGCATGCTGAATCATGTACCTGGCATGCTGTAACATGTGTCCTGCACACCGTATATTTTGTTTCCTATAGTATTTATCTTGCAAACTGAATCATATATCCTGCATGTTAGATATAATGTTTCCAGCATGATTGATACCATGTATGCCTGAAATCACTTGTCGGGTCCGTCCTAGTATACAATTTTTGGACCCCCCCCTCCCCNATAAATAAATACTAATTTAGGAGGAGGGGGGGGGGGAGTTAAAAAATCGTTCTCTAGGAAACTACCCATATAATTTTTTTCTGCATGCCTTTACATGTATCCTGCGCGCATGCTTGATATAATTTTTCTTGAATACTTGATAACATATATCCTCCATGCTTGAAATAATTATTCCTGCATGCTGTTTCATGCATCCTGCATCCTTGATAAAAATTGTCCTAGAATTAGATTTCAAGCTTTTACTTTCTTTACTTCCATAAATCTGCTTGAAATTATTTCCGGAATCCGTAGAACACACAATATACTTCTTTAATCAATGTTTTGATGTATTTGTAGATAAAGATGTTAACTAGACGGGAGAAGCAACAACATTGTGACAGACATTTTTTACGAATGAAATTGTGATAGTGAGTTTAACAAGACTACACTAACAGTACCTGAAAATACATTCTATAATGTGCAAATTGTGATTATTTATTTCTCATTCAGCTTTCTCTAGGAAGAAGTTTTATAACTTTATGTTAGTGATATGGCCAAGGTAAATTTCGAAATATTTTAATAATCATTTTTTAATAATCAAGAAAATCATTTCCCCTGGTTTTTAGACGCGCAATCTCTTAGAAACAATTGAAATGGATTAATCTGTAATCATTAATAGATTTCTAAAGTTAAAAATTCTAATATTTTTTATTTGTATTATTTCATCATTTGCCAAAACAAATTGGACGTTTATAAGATACAAAAGTACGAACAGACAAAGAAGCTAAATGTATAAAGTATATATTTATGCCCCCCCCCTCCCCCCGAAGTGGGGGGTTATAGGGGGTCTCAATCTCCCTTTTAAGATGCATATGCTGTGTGTTTCATGATGAGAATGAACAATTCAAATGTATTCTGAAATCTTATCATTTAAAAACATTTCACAAATTGTACCTTGCATTGATTTATAATGATTTTATTTAATAATTACTTATCCCGTTAATATTTGTTCAGGGGTGTATATTATCCTAAAAAATCATCCCCCCCCCCTTTAAGAAAAATTTATTTCCCAAGAAGTTGTAAATAAAAAAATATGTTATTGGGGGGTCAAAAGTACCAAATAGGATTGAACAACTTACCTTTTGATCGTACATTTTCAATTTTTCCCCCCAATTCATTAATAATCAATTTCCCCTCCCCAGCGATGAGGGGGATGTAATTCTGTAAAATATACACCCCTGTATATTTTCTTGAATGGAACCTGGAAATTCACTTTTTATCGTCTTCATTTTAGAGGTCATAGTGTAAAATGTACGTAGGTTACACTAACACTGTTATAATTAGGCTGAGTTTGGTGGATTACCTGGAGAAGGAGAGGGGGAGGATGATACTGTTCACCAGGATATAACAGACCAACTGCTTGATGCAGATCTTATACTCAGCTCGTTCGGGATCTCGGAGAACTACAACCACTTGGAGGTGAGGGCAGGTGGGGGGGGGAGTAATGTGTTAATAAAAAGGGGGAGGGGGGCGGTATTTATAAGCTAACCTCTGCTCCGCATTAGGTCCGAATTTGTGGAAATTAACTATTCACTCAATTTTTAAAAATCTTGTGCAAGTATTTAAGTATTAAAGTTTTCAGACACAAAATAAAACAAAAATTGTAGTGTACAGAATACAAATATGATTATGCTAAAAAGGCTTTTTATAGAACATTTTTAATTTTGTATTTATTGCATGTAGGCAAATAAACATATCATCCCACTTTCTGAATTAAACAAAAATGTTTTTAAAAAATGCATACGTTACGTATAGTAATTTAAAAATTTTGAAAACCGGAAATATATTATCTGATAATTATTTCTAGGTGAAGACGGACGTTTCTGAATACTTAAACGAGATCTCCAACAAGATGGAAACAGGTCAGATGATTAAAGAAAATGTCGAATTGATCCTACATTTTAGTAGGTCATGTCCGATTCATGAAGGTACCCTTTAAACCTTTCTCTGATAAATAACTTAGAAAATATCGACTTTTTTAGCTTATAGTGTTAAATTCTGACCATGTTCTTCTTTGTTTCTACAGTAAAAATCCGTCCCTTTCATAAAAATCCATCATTGAAAATCCTCAATTTTTAGTGTGGAAAACATGAATGTTGAATATATCATTTATTTTTGATCAGATAAAGCGGTGAAGGGTACCATTGTGAATTGAGAATGTCACTATTGAAATCTTTCAGAATCATGGAGATAAAATTTTATTATTTTTTCGTGATTGGAGTTTATTGAAACATTAATTTTCAATCAATAATTCTGCAGCTTTTGTTTTTAAATTAACTTAAAAAAAATCTGCCACATAGTGTAGTCTTACCAAAAAAAAAATTTCTAGACATAACCCCCTAACTGATTCCATTTTTAAAAGTTTATTTTTTCAGATATTAGTTTTGAAGACGAGAACAAAGCGAACTTATTTGAATACAGGGATATATCAGGGCATCTACAGGAAGAAAAGAGAACATCCTGTGACACTATTCATGGATTTACAATGGGCGGGGCTAAAGTGGAACGCCCTCCCTCAGTTATCCAGGTAAAACCATGCTAGCAAGTCCAGATTTTCTAAGATCTCAAAATGATTAAATTACTTTTAAGTTTCAAATGCTTATTTTGATCTTTACCAAGGTTTAGCTTTTGAACACGATATATTTGAACACGATATATTTGAACAGATTTATTCTGAGGTTTTATTGTTTGATTTGATTCTTTTAGGGGCAAAATGCGTTTCTGGAATTATTTTACAAACCTGTGGCTGTATTACCTTTTTAGTAAAATGTTTTTACTTAATTTATTCATTTCCCCCTTCTCTAAAATAAATGACATATTTCCCCCACCTCAGCACCAAAACCTAAGAATACCTTTCTAGATAGATAAGGGATAGTAATGGGTTTTGAAGAAGAATTAAAAAATAAAACTTTTCTACACTTCTGATTTTTTAGGAAAACATGATGAGAACCAACAGTGGGCGGTTTTACAACTGTTCGAATATCAGAAACATAGAGGATAGAAACAGTTTAGTCCAGGGAGTCCAGGACTTAAACAGAGCTTCATCTCTCAATGATCTCTATGATCGGAATAGTTCTCAAACGGAGATAAATGATATTGAAACTAGTCGATCAACGGTGAACAATATTGGCGCCAATTCGACGGCCATTTTGGGAAGTTCCGAATTATCCTTTCCCGCATTTCTGAATGCCAGAGAAGATTGGAAAACCGGTTTTCAAGCTGGAGGGTTGGGGGACAAGGAGAAGTTAGGAAATTCTTTGCTCGAACTGCAGCGATATCTGGAAACGGAAAGTATTGCTGGTAAATAATTATTTTTTTTATTTAATTCCTCGAAATTTCCAGGAAACCCGGTTATTTTGGGACAAATTCTTATTTTCTTGTCTCGGAGGACTTGGGCTAAATTAGAAACTTTTTAAGTAATCCAATGATCAAAAAAATGTTGATGTTTTATTAACACAAGTTTTAATTTTTAGACTTGAATAATATTGATGAGGATTTCTTGGATCAGCAGTTAACTGTGTCCCACATGTCCCTGGCATCTCAGCCAACCCAGAGTTTGGATGCATCTCTCCCTATCCGAAGTTTGGATGCATCCTATCTCTCTCAGTGTCCAGTTGTATCTCAGGATTCACCCCAACCTACTCTATTTCGGCCTATTCACCAGACAAACAAGTAAGATGTCTAAAAGGCTTTAAAAGCAACACATTTTTTTAATTTGATAAACTTTTTTCAGTTTACAGCTTATAAGCTTAAAGGAGCTTAAGCAGCAGCAGACTATGGATGACAGGAAGCAGCTTGAACAGCCTCATCAATCCGAAGCTCTTAAACTTGAGGAGCTTCCCCCACTCTCCCAAATTGAGAAGTTGAACACTTTTAACCTTCAGAGTCAGCTGTTTACGGTACCTTCGCCGCTCCCTCTCTCCCCGCTCTTTGTCGAAAATAAACCAGTTTTCTTAAACCCAGCTGACGGGTTGTCGATGCCATCGCCTGATGTGCCACGCTCCCGTTCGGAACACTCGCCTCGTCACACGCCAAGGCACGATTTATCACCGCGAGGAACGCCGCGGCCTTCACCACAATCTACACCAAGACCTTCGCCGCAATCAACCCCGCCTCCAATGCTGTGTGACGTACCTCCTCAAAGAGGAGATTCAAGGTTCCATTTTTTAATGTATTCATTTTATAACAATTCAAAGCGCTACACCATATATCTAAAAATTGATAGTTAAGTTTACGTATTTTGCTTTGGTAAAAGGAAATTATCGTTAATTTTACTTTACTTATTTTCTTTGGAAATGAAAGCATAGATTCTCAATTTCATATCTGATCAATAATATGGAAGATATCGTCGTTTTTAGCTGTAATCGTGTTTAATTTTGAAGCAGAAATTAATATAAATCATGTTTTAAACAAAAGAAACTTTTGTTATTGGTTATCTTATGTTTTCTTGGTCAGAAAAAAACGTTAAAGGGTACCCTATTGAATCGTACATTTTACACCATAACTAAGTAACTTGAAATTAAGTATTGTTGTAAATCTAAAACGGATTGATAATGCTCGCCGCTCACGAAACAAATCAGAACAAGAGAGGGCAGTGCACAAAGAACCTTAATAGTAGAAAGACTTATACATAGATATAATCTTCTACCTTAGGTAAGAGCAGCTCCCAAGTTACATTGATTCATATAACTCAGACTATTAACATAATATAGCCTGATAAATACATTCAACTATCAATAGCTAGTTATAGATATTTGTATTTATATATACAAGCAAGGATACATATAATTCGGCATAGCTAAACTAAATACATAGCTCCGCAGAATTAATAGCTCCGCAGAGTTAATAGCTCCACAAAGCTAACAACTCCGCAACATTAATAGTTCAGCAGAGTTGATAGCTCCACAAAGTTACTAGCTTCGCAAAACTAAATAAGGCAGCTCTGTAAAGCTAGACAAGATAATAGCTAAGTGATTAACAATACTGCAAAGGGTTATTAAAAGCTATCATGAAGATTATGACCACCCTACCCCGAGAGGGTGGCGACCATGAGGACCATGGGGATGTAGTTCGGGTCCTGCCTGCTGCTGGTGTGCCTGGGAGACCTGTAGATGAAGGAGGGAATGATCGGAATAGGAGAGAGCCAGGAGAAGTTGACCCCCAGACGGGGGATCTTAATGTAGATCCCCCAGACCCGGAGGCTAGGCCGGAGGATGTAGATGAGGATGACCTCTCGTGGATGAGACTGGGCCTCCAGCCAGACAGAGGCCGGGTCACGGTAGTTATCAGTAACTGGAGAAGGATCGAGGGTCAGATAGATGTTGCCTGGCAGAGCCTACATCAATTAATTGTAGATGCATCCCAGGGGCGTAGGAGGATATCTAGGGAAGAACACTATCTGAGAATGGAGGTGGAACTGTTGACCTACATGTCCTTATTGATGCTGAGAAGGGTGGAGCTCTTGATGTCGTTTGAGACCTTGGTGGATCTGAATGCTGAATATTAATCTCCTAAATATAAATATACAATTATTACATTTATTGAATTAATAAATATGAACTAAGAGAGTTAATTATTGCGTTTGAAATTCTGCTGTAGATAAATAAAGCTCGGAGTTTACAACAGTATATTTACTGGAGTGGATTACTGGAAAAATTTTCGCTGAGAGATCACTTGTGTGACATTTTCATTAAAAAACTGTTAACTAAATGGAGTTTCTAACTATTTGTTATATTGTTAATTGTGACAAAATTTGAAAAAAAAATTAATTAAAAAAATTTTCGAGTTTGGAACAACTTATTTCGATATTTTTTAGCTTATGTTACCCCTGCGATACTCATGGGCTCCCCTAAAAAATCAGCCAATTTGGTCCAGCTGTTTCTATAGCTACCATATAAATGTATATATATATCTGTGCGAAGAGATTTATTATATAGATTTCATTTTATGCTAGATCTTGGAAGAGATCAGGACGTGTGACCCCCACAGGGAAGAGGTCACGACCTCAAACTCCGACCTCCGAGGGAGAAAATTCAGATTCAGGATTTAGGGACAGGTTAAAAAAAGTTTATTTAATAAAATATTCAAATACAGGGTGTCCCAAAAAAACATGGGAATTCAGTGACGAATTCGATATCGTCTTTGTTATGAATTAGCATGTTTAATACCTAATTTCAAAAGCCTTAATATTATTATGTCTGCTAGAATTTATTTTATGAAAAGGGTAATAGACTGAAAAGATGTATTGCTTCCACAAGATAACAGTGAAGACAGACAAGTTTATTCTGTTTGTATACTGCAATTTTCTTGTTTTACTAAGTACATCCGCATGCAGTCAAAACATAAACAAACAAATTGTGAACATAGCAGACGCAAAACTCTTAAAGAATGCTTTCTCAGTAGGTATCACTATACTAAATCAAAGAATTATTTTAAAAGACGATGTCGAATTCGTCACTGAATTCCCATGTTTATTGGTACACTCTATCTAAACTAAATCTGTGGGTTCCACAAAAGGTTATCTTTAAGATCCTCAGTGGTTGATTGATTGATTGATTTATTGATTGATTGATTGATTGATTGATTGATTAATTGATTGACTAATTGATTGAATGGTTGAATGATCCAAAAATATTAACTCTTAAGATGAACAATTAAAAATTAACCGAAGAAAATCATGTCCATTTTGGTTTCTATTTTTACCACTTGAATCCAGAATCCAGATCCAAGGAGTCCAAATGTAGCGGGAGTATTCTCATAATCTTGATCGCTTGATCTCGGTATTCACTGTGGCTACTTTCTTCATTTCAGTTATCCCTTTGGTGTACAATTACGCTGCGGATACCGAATAAACATTGAATAAATCTGCAAATTAACAAAATACCGAGATCAAGCTAGCATTGATATCGATATCCACTGAGTTCCCACCTTACAGCACTTTTTAAAGGGAGTGACTGGCAATGTATGGTAGTTGAACTGAGAATGTAGTTTTGCGGAGATATATAATTACTGAGTTTGAGCGGAAAGTCGACGTTCAAAATCAATTAAATTTTTTAGTCTTTATGAAATTGCTCGCAGATTTCTTTCCAGGACATCTACAGAAAATGTTTGTAAACAATGAGACATTAAAGAAACCAATAACTAAATAAGATTACTTATTTTCGATGATAATAGTTAATTTTTATTTCCTCAACCTGTTCCTAAACAACTAAAGTTTACTGTAGAATTTTCATTACATTTTTTATCGTCGTTATTGAATAATTTTCAAAAACCGATCCTCAAAAGCAACCCATAAAAATGATCAATCAATGAGAATTTTTAAAATTGAATTTGCACTCTTGATTAAAATATGAACCGTAAAAACGTCTCATAGGTTTAAATAATTCCAAAAAAATTTAAAAATTAAAAAATAAAAAAAAATAAAACATTCTCAGTTCAACTGTCATACATTGCCAGTCCCTCTCTTTAAGAAAATATTTGTTTAGGGAACCTCACACCTGGGGTAGCGGACGGACAACTCCTGTTGAACAGAAACCTCCTCCACGCTTCGAGGTTAAGAGCTTTTTTTTAAATAATAAAAAACGAATTCAAATTGAAATACTATTTTTTTTCGAACAAATAAAAATTCTGTATTATTCTAATAAATTTCAAAAAAAAAATAACTTCATTTACCATCTTATTTCAACTGATACAGAAGAAATTATTTACAAATTGTTTTAGTTTTTTTTTCTTGCCAATTAACTACATGAATTACATAAATTACAAATTAGAATAATTAATTTAAATCAATGCCATTATAAGTACAAATGAATTACAAATGTAGTGGGACCCATGAAACTGCGGAAAGGAAAGACGAAATTTCGATTTAATGTTTATCAGTCTTTTTATAACTATTATTCCAATCCAACAGTCGTCCTTCCATTTCCAGAGTTTTAAGGGTCTCACTGCACTCACAAGGTTCGTTCTACAGTAATTAATTAATTACATATTAAGGGGACCGTAATTTTAATCTCAAGTGATCATCCATTCAAGGATGTCAATATACGATTCACATCGATACCTTTAGAAGAGTTGTCTGATTTAGTATGAATTAAAAATCAATGTTTATAATTTTTAAAAACTGATTTTTTTCAATTTTAGTTTTCAACAAGAATTATCAGAATTAAACACTTCTAACCCTAGAAAAACGTTAATATTTCACACTGTTAATCAGATAAAGGTTTCAAGGGTACCAATGTGAATCAGGCATTCCCATTTTTGGATGGAGGAATACTTGAAAATATGTTAACAGTCCCTTTATAAAGGATATGGAGGATGAGGATAAGTATAATAAGAGGAAGAGGTCAACCTCTGCTGGGGAAAAAGAAAAGGAAACCAATCAAAAATCAGACAAATTTATTAATAATCAGACAAATTAATTAATAATCAGACAAATTAATTAATAATCAGACAAATTAATTAATAATCAAACAAATTAATTAATAATCAGACAAATTAATTAGTAATCAGACAAATTAATTAATAATCAGACAAAATAATTAATAATTAGACAAATTAATTAGTAATCAGACAAATTAATTCATAATCAGACAACTTAAACAATAATTAGACAAATTAATAAATAATTTGACAGATTAATTAATAATCAGATAAATTAATTAATAATTAGACAAATTAATTAATAATCGGACAAATTAGTTAATAATTAGAAAAATTAATATATAATCGGACAAATTAATAATTAATCAGACAAGTTAATTAATAATTAGACGAATTAATTAATAATTAGACAAATTAATGAATAATCAGACAAATTAATTAAGAATTAGACAAATTAATTAATAATTAAACAAATTAATAAATCATCAGACAAATTAATTAATAATTAGACAAATTAATGAATAATTAGACAAATTAATTAATAATTAGACAAATTAATTAATAATCAGACAAATTAATTAATAATTAGACAAATTAATGAATAATTAGACAAATTAATTAATAATCAGACAAATTAATTAATAATCAGACAAATTAATGAATAATTAGACAAATTAATGAATAATTAGACAAATTAATTAATAATCAGACAAATTAATTAATAATCAGACAAATTAATTAATAATCAGACAAATTAAATAATAATCAGACAAATTAATAATTAGAAAAATTAATTAATAATCAGACAAATTAATTAATAATCAGACAAATTAATTAATAATCAGACAAATTAATTAATAATCAGACAAATTAATTGATAATCAGACAAATTAATTAATAATTAGAAAAATTAATCAATCAGACAAATTAATTAATAATTAGACAAATTAATGAATAATCAGACAAATTAATTAATAATTAGACAAATTAATTAATAATCAGACAAATTAATTAATAATCAGACAAATTAATTAATAATTAGAAAAATTAATTAGTAATTAGATAAATTAATTAATAATCAGACAAATTAATCAATAATCAGACAAATTAATTAATAATTAGACAAATTAATCAATAATCAGACAAATTAATTAATAATTAGACAAATTAATTGATAATCAGACAAATTATTTAATAATTAGACAAATTAATCAATAATCAGAAAAATTATTATTTAATTATAATCAGACAAATTAATTAATAATTAAACAAATTAATCAATAATCAGACAAATCAATTAATAATTAGACAAATTAATTAATAATCAGACAAATTAGTTAATAATTAAGCAAATTTATCTTGTGGCATTAAATATGAAAGATATCTTTTCAATTATCATGAAATCTGTTTAAAATTATTTTTGCCAAAAATCTTCTCTTAATATTATCAAACCATTTTAACTTTTCAAAAATGATTAGGCTTTTAAATTTTTTCCGAAATATCACAAAAATTCCTTTTTTTGTCGCCTAAATATGCTTTTTTTATACCGCAATTCAAAATATCTGTTGGATAAAATTAAACAACAAACCATATTGGGGAGATTCCCTCTTTTCATATTTATCATAAATTTGACCCTTATTAATACATGAAAGGGATTTAAAAATGGTTGCATGGCTCAAATATTGTCGTGTTGCTGGGCTGAAAAACCTTCACTTTGGAAAAACTATGTCTCAAAAATCAGATCTGGGCTAAAAAAACCACGCAACAGTCAAGACATAACCTCCAGGTTGTTTGGTGGAGCCCTAAAGGGAATGTAAGCGTAATTTCAAGTGACCTTCCAGTTGTAAAGAGGCATTTCCAATTCACAACGGTACTCTTTAAACAATTGTCGGGACAACGATTAGATAGATACCCTTAATTGTTTAGCTGAAGGTTGAGTGCCGGAAGACTCGAGGTTACAGTGTACACTGTACTGTGTACACTTGCGCGATTTCTTAGCAATCAATTTCCCGCTAAAAAATATTAAGAATATCTACGAAATCCTTGATTAAGCCAAGGTTGTACACCATGTCACTCTATAAATAGAAGGTATCTTGAGATTCGCTTACAATTTAAACAATCCCTAAAATTCATTATTTGATTTGATTTGAATAAGTATGATTTTTGAACAGTAAATTAAATGATTATGATTGGTTGGTAACGGTTAGGGTCGAGCCAAGGATCCATTAAAGAATATGCTGGACGAACTGCAGAGTATTATCCCACATATAGGTATTTATTATTGTAATTCTAATTTAAAATTGTGCTGTTTGGGAGTTTGATCTATGAACCTTTCGATCTAAATTGAATTTGCGAGAAAATGATTTTTATTCAAAAGTTACGTTTAAGATCAAATTCCACATTTTTCCTAAAAAATGGGATTTTGATCTTAACTTTATTTTAGATCATAGTCGACGTAGGTCAGATACTTTTAGATCATATTCCCTTAAGATCAAAAGTGTTATAGATCAAATTCCAGTGCACTGGTGTATTTTTTTCAAATTTTTCAATTGATTGATTTAGAACTTATCTATTAATTAATTAATAATTGATAAGTCAATCAATTTTTTCTATATGTCGAATATTTACGAAAGATGTTGGTGATTTATGATCAATTTGTGACTCTATAATTAATTTATGTATTAATCCTAGGAAACCCGGATGAAGAGAAGGTTTCTCAAGCCGGGATCCTAGTGGAAGGTTCAGATTATATCCGGAGTCTCATGCGGGAAAATAAATCAACCCGGGTATTTATATTTCGATACATAAATCCACTTCTAGGGGGAACACTAGCAAACAAAAACTGCAAACAAAAATGTTTTCCCTCAATCTAAATCTAAACAGTTAAAAAATGAGATATTAACTAAAAATTTCATTTCTGAATAGTTCATAAAGTTTAGCATAAAAAAAACGAAAATTAAAAATCATTAAATCTAAAAGAAATGTGTATTGTGTATTTCTTGGATCCGGATTCATTTTTTCCAATGTGGATCAACATTAAATGAATTCTAAGCACTGCATTAGTGCATAAGTCAGTGATTAGTAATTAAAATCGAAATTAAGAGTTTCAACAAAATTCCATGTAATACTAGCTTTGGAACCCAGGGCTGCCCAGGTTTTTCATACCCGCACTTAAAGGATTTTACGTGAAACTGAATTTTCGCCATTAAAGTCGACCAACTCAACTTAGAATCTTAAAACCAAGCTAAGAACATTCACGTGGGTCTCCCGAGTTTCCCCATCAAGATTTAAGGCAAATTGGTCCAGTGCAGGGCTTCCTAAGTTATGATCGGACAAACAGACAGACAAAAGTTTTGCCTTACATCTGTTTTTTTATCTTTTTGATATCAGATTGTAGTGATATGCTGTATGTCTGGTTAACCTGGTAGTGTCAACTCCAACCTTACTCAACCAAGTGTCATGATCTACTCTGTCTATTACCTTCATAATTTTGTAGGTTTGGATCAGGTCTAGTTTGGTTCGTCTGTCCTTCAGTGACAATAAACCTAATTCATCAAGCCTTTCCTCGTAACTCCTGCCATTTAAACCAGTAATTATTTCTTCTCAGATAAAGGTTGAAAGGGTACCTTTGTGGATCAGACAGGAAACTCACCTTAAAGAACGTTGACAGTCCAAATAAAATATAAAAATATAAAAATTGTTATTTTATTATTCTAGGAGAATGTTGAAGCCCTGAAACTGAAGATTGAAGAACTTAATTCAGAGATTGAAGCTGCGCAGGTAAAGTTTAAATATTTACCCTCTACAAATAATAAAGGGTGGGAGAAGGATTAAAAAAAAATTTAATATAAACAAGAATTATTATTGCAGGAGAAGCTACCAGAGCATGGAACTAACACCATCCATAGAATAATCTCTAGTCGGGGGAAATCTATTCCAGATATGTTTGCTGACCATGTCAGGTTGGTAAATTATTATCCCCCCCTCCGAGCATGGCGTCAGGTTGGTAGATTTTTTTTTATTGATCCCTCCCTCTCATTCAAACCCCTTCCAACAACATTGACGGCCCTGTAAAAATTGTTGAGAGCTTAATTTTTTCCTGTTAAATCAATAAACAATTAAGATTCCTTTGTAATTTATAAAACGCCATACAGGAATACCCACAAAGGATGGAGATTGTAAATATGATTTTAAAACTTAAGGATATGACAATATGACAAGCATAAGTCTTAAGTCTACTGGCACAAGTAAAGTCTTGAAATGGATAAATTAATCATTTGAGAAAGAAAGACACAATTTTTCAGTTGCAGGCAGTCATGAATATGAGGAAAAAGACAGTATAAATTCCGTACAGTCGTCTCTGAAGATAATCCTTTGTGTGGGTAACCCTGAAGATGAAATAAGATATTTTTTGGGCATTTTTAAAATTTAATTGCATCGTTTAGACTTCTTGTCGAAAAAGAAAGATCATTTTTCAAATTGTTTTTATTACTTTAAAATGTGCAAAATTATTTACACCTTCATTATTTCAGGCATGGAACATAGGAGAACTGGAGGTACTGGGTGTTTACCTCCATTATTTTAGGCATAGAACCCAGGAGGACTGGAGGTACTGGGTATTCACCTTCATTATTTTAGGCATAGAATCCAGGAGGACTGGAGGTACAGGGTATTCACCTCCATTATTTCAGGCATAGAACCCAGGAGGACTGGAGGTACTGGGTATTCACCTCCATTATGGGTCACTTCGTCCACACGTTTGCCCAGCAGGTCTCCAACATAAACCAGGAGGAGCTCGGGAGAACAGCAATAGATTGGATTCAGGTGCAGTGGAACATCTTTAATAATCGGACTGTTTGAGTTATTTCAAGAGACCTTCCATTTAAATGTGTATACATCATTTACATTCTTGGATACTTGGATACTTGGATTGTGCACGCTAGGAGAGCCACATGTGTGGCCATGTAAAGCGGCTCATGTGCTTTTGTTAGCCACAAACATTTAGGTATGTTTTGGGCCATACATCTCGTCATATTTTCTCTTAAAACTGTTCAGAGTTTTAGAAGATCTAACATTGTCAGCGATTTCATTCCGAAGTTTGGGAGTTCTGACACTAAAAGAGTGTTTTCTCCATTCACTATTAAAACTTTTATGCCTTAGATTAAGGATATTCGAGGCCAGTCTGGTATCTTGTGTTGAATTTTCTGAGCATCTTTCAAACCAATGTTTTTCATCTACATGATCATACTGTGATAATATTTTCCATACTTGAATTGCATCACCTCTTTTCCTTCTTTCCTCCAGACTATAGAGTCCAACCTCTTTTAGCTTTTCTTCTTAGCATTTTCCTTTGAGACCAGAGGTCATTCTCACTGCTCTTTTTTGAATGTCTTCAAGAACTTTAATATTTTTGCCATCCAAGGGTTCCATGCCTGCACAGCATATTCAAGTAGAGGCCTTACATATATAGTATAGAGTTTAAGCCAAACCTTTTTATATCGGTATGAGAATGCTCTTGCCATCCTGCCCAAGGTTTGATTTGCTTTCTTTGCAGCAGTTATGCACTGTTTGGAAGGCTTCATATCAGTACTAATAATAACTCCAATGTCTCTTTCACAGCCTGGGTCTGTGAGGATACAACCTGCTGGAGGATAGCCTCCAAGAGAATACACTGTATCCTGTCTGTCCCTTCCAAAGTGCAGTATTTGACACTTTCCAAGATTGAAATTCATCTGCCAGGTGTCAGCCCATTCCATTAGCCTGACAAGAACCTGCTGCATCTTCTCAGCATCTTCCAAATTATTCACTATTCTTCCAACCTTTGCATCATCTGCAAACTTGGACAGAATGTTCACTTCTTCACTAATATCTAGATCAAAAATGTTGATAAATATAATGAAAAGAATAGGGCCGAGGACTGAGCCTTGCGGGACCCCAGATGTAACTGGTAACCACTTCGAGTTTTCACCATTTAGCACTACTCTCTGTTGTCTATCACTAAGCCATGAAACAATCCACTCCTTAAGTTTTCCTGTAATACCGTGAGCTTCCAAAATGACATTCAGCCTCTTGTGAGGAACTTTATCAAAGGCTTTACTGAAGTCTAGGTATGCAACAACAACAGAATTTCCTTTATCAACTAAATCCTGTAATGTTTCAAGGTTTTCCAAAAGGTTTGTTAAACAGGAACGATTTTTCACAAATCCATGTTGAGAAGAGAAAATAAGATTATTTTCATTTAAATGTTCTACAATTACATCTTTTAACAAGGATTCCATAACTTTGCCAGCTACACATGTTAGAGAAACAGGTCTGTAATTAGAAGTTTCAAATTTTTTGCCTTTTTTAAATATAGGTGTAATATTGGCTTGCCTCCATTGTTTAGGAACTACACCTGTATCATAAGATTTTTGAAAAATTAGGCATAGTGGTTTTGATAGTTCTTCTGCAAGTTCTTTATAGATTATCGGTTTTAAATTATCTGGGCCAGCAGCAGAGAAAGGTTTTAACTTGTTTAACTTTTTAATAATGTTTTCAGGAGAAAAAACTACAGATTGAATCTCTCTTATATCAGGTTTTATACTATCAAGACTTGGTATAAATGCAGTGTTTTCAGAAGTAATGACACTACTGAAATATTCGTTAAAGGAATTTGCCATATCTTTATCTTGATCGACAGTAACATCATTAACTTTTAAAGGTCCCACAGTTGTACGATTACTTTTTTTAATGTTCAAATAACCATAAAAGGCTCTTGGATTTGATTTACAGTCTTTAGCAAGGTTTTTTTCAAACTTTCTTTTGGCTTTTTTAATTGTTCGTTTAACCTCTTTTTCTGCTTTTTTATTAAGTAAAAAGTCCTGTTTGTTTTGAGTTTTGGTAAATACTTTCCATCTAGTTTTCTTCCTCCTTATTGCACTAATCTCATCCCCCTTCATCCAAGGGGGTCTCATGGATGCCCTATGAGATGATTTTGGTACATTTACCTCAATGACTTTGTTTAGCATGTCTGCAAAAGTATCCCAAGCTGCACTTGCATCCTGCTCTTTTAATAAATAATCCCAGTCAATTTCATTAACCTTAGATCGCAATGAATTAAAATCAGCTTTTTTCCAATTAAAAGATTCACTCTTTAAGTTTTTTCTATCTGGATTTAAATTCAGTTCAGTAAGAATCATACTGTGATCACTAGACCCCAGAGGGCCACAGTTAATAATAGATGTTACAATATTTGCATTTGAAGATAACACAAGATCAGGCATTGTCCCTGATTTATGACTAGGAAAATCTACATGTTGGGTTAGAAATGAGTCTTGAACACTACAATAAAATTCTTTACTTTTCACAGTTGCAGTACCATTATCCCAATCTATGTCTGAGAAATTAAAATCACCGACTATCAAGAAAGGTTTTGGAAATTGCTTTAGCAAATCGCAGAGAAGATTGTTATTTTCGATTAAATCTTTGGAGTCATAAAGATTATGAGGTCTATATATCATGCATAAATTTAATTGATCTTTTCCTATTTTAATGGAAACAGCAGTGAATTGATTAAATTCACTTAGTAAATCTGCATTGAGTTCAGAAACATTAAGCTCATTTTTTGCAAAAATAAGTAAACCACCTCCAATACCTCTTTTAGTGTCTTTTCTATCTTTTCTAGACACGAGATTATAATTTGAAATATTAAGATAAGAATCCTGTATGTCTTCTCTAGTCCATGATTCACAAATACAAATTAAGTCTGGATAAATTTCAGAAACAATGCAGTTAAGTTCATTAATTTTGTTCATGATACTCTGTGAATTAAAGTATAAGACATTCAATTTGCTAGTGCTAGGTGCACTCCTGTTGTTATCAGATTGTGGGGGTAGGTCTAATACCTTCCCCAACCTCCTCTCCTGCCTGATCCAGATAGGGGGGGAGGTTGGTCCTCCCACTCCCTGTGACCAGTCATTGAACTCCTCTGCCGGGATCTGGGGCGTGACACTGGTGCCTCTTGATCCCTCTGATCTCTCCTGGAATCTCCTCTTTGCTGGGACCTGGGGCGTGAAAATGTCGCCTCCTGATCCCAACCTTCCCTCCTGGAGCCTCCTCTCTCCAGGGACCTGGGGGGCAATACTGGCCCCTCCTGATCCCAATCTTCCCGGCGAGCTTGTGGCCCAGCCTGGGTTGACCTCTCCTGGGCATCTTGGTGCTCTACCTCCTCCCTCCTTCGCATTCTCTGCAATCTTCGTTCCCCTCTCCTTCCTACGACCATCCATTGAAAGTTTTTTTTGTCATCATTGGACATCGCTGTATTTCTGTCACTAGCAATACACTTCAACTTTTCTTCCTCTTCTCTTTGCTTTCTGGTTAAATCTTTTACAATTTTAACCCTGCAGTACGGTTCTCTCATGGTATTCAATAGAGGCGCTTTAAGTAGAATTTTCTCCTTCAGTCCTGGAATTTGTATACCAATAAGAGCAGGTCTGGTTCTGCTGTTATCATACCTTCCTAGTCTTGTCATGAACCTAATGTCTTCTTTGGCAATCTTTATATTCAGGCTATCTAGTACCTCTGTGAACCTTTTTCTGTCAATCTCAGCCCTCTGCTCCCCTGTGTTGGCTTGGGGATCAGGTATATCATATATCATCAGATTGTCTTTCCGATTTTCTCTCTCTCTGAGCTCCTCAAAGATTACTTCATTGTCTCCATTCTCTCTTGGGAGAACCTGAATATCATTCACAATCTTCTGGAGTTCCTTCATCTCCTTCTCCACGACTTCAACTCTTTCCATCTCCTTCTCCACCTTGCTGCTCCTCTCCTCCAACTTAAGCTGAAGTTCTTCAACTTTATCTATCTGTTCCTCCAGTTTATCAAGCCTAGCATCTATCTTCAGGTTTATCTTACTGTACTTGGTTGCAAAGCTTTTACAGGCTCTGCAGGTCCAAGCAATTCCATCATTCTTTTTGCTTCCAAGGGCTTTCATGCATTCATTTGAGAGCCCTGAGCATTTAACATGAGCCCAAAGCTCGCATAGAAAGCATTGGACACAACCATCTCTCTTAGTAAATACTTTTTGACAGCACAGACATATCTCCTCCTCAGGTGCTGAATCAATATCAGGATCCTGAGATTCTGCCATTATTTAGTTTATCACTATCTACACAGTCAATTTCACTAAGGGATCTCAGGGTGCCCCTTACACCCCTCTAAACAAGGGATCTTTGGGCGCCCCTTACACCTAACTTTTCAGGTATCTAGTTCCTTTACACTTCGTAATAAAACTGACACAGCTAAACTATGCTTGGTTCACTTCAGAGTTCAATTAATTAATTACTTAATGTCCATTTAGCATTTTACATTTTACATTCTTCACATTCAAACTTTTATCTAATCAACTATGTGAAAGATATCATCGCTTTTCTATCATAGAAAATATACCTACCCCCCCCCCCCTCTCCTGTAATAATTTTCAGAGTTTAGTTTGCTTGATCGTCATTCTGCATTGTGAGTTGTGACGCACGTTCTGATGAATATCAGATCCGATGATATAGCACACAAACAGCATTTAGCCAATCACAGTCCAGTATTCTCCAATTGACCAATCAGAGCACAGGAAAGAAAATTCAACCAATGAGAAGCCCGGAAAATATACTGTGAAACATTCCATTAGTTTAAAAACTTGCAGACAACTTTATTTGACAGAAATCTGAAAATGCTCGGCTCTACAAGCGATTACGGGACAATGTCAAACCAAATCGAGGGTTTGGACGAGGATAGGCTGGAAGATATGATCCCTGGATTAAACCTCCGCGCTGAATCTCAAACTATTTTCAATGATATCAGCATTGAGGAGCGACGGGAAAGAATCCAATCCATCCTGAGTGAAATAATGTCGGTTCCAAGACTTTCCGAAGCAACCCTAACTCACAGATCGACACGGAAGGATGATAAAAATCCTAAATCTCATCGAGGAAGTGCTATTTCAAGTGTTCGGAACGGTAAGGTGTCAGTCCTACGTAGTATCAGCACTCCCAAACTAGATTTTATCCCAGAGAAGAAACCAGAAAAGAAGAAAATATTAAAACCTAGATTTGTTCCGAAATCTACCGCAGGTGGTGGTGGCGCAAGTGGCGCATCTGTAAAAGCTTCCAATCTTGGTAACGACACTCAGAACGAGCTAAGATTCAATCCCCCAACATTCGGCGACGAAACAACAGTATCGAACTCCCGAGCTAGTTTTAACGACAGCCGAACCTCAGAAACCTCCCAGGAACAAGGAGAACGTCCGACAAACTTTGTCTGGGAAAACATTCGAAGTTCGTCGGCGGCCACCCATAAGTCTGTGGTGCGCGAAGAGCCCGAGCTACCTCCAATTAAGCATAAATCTGGAATAGTTCCTAAATATTTAAAAGCTCGCCAGCGGCAGTGGAGGGATGAAGCTCAAGCTGTGATTGATAATACTCCTGATGTGGATTGTCCCCCAGGACATATTAAACTAGGCAGGATAAATATATATATAAATCTATATATAAATTTAGCTTGTCTGTCTGTCTGTTTACTTATTTGATTACTTGTGTGGTGGTTTGCAGGACCTTGTGTGGAACCTTACGTGACCCCAGTCCCCCCCTACATCAAATGTGCCAACTCCACCATCCCCTTTTAAAAATTTGTGTTTAAAATTTTTTTATTTTTGTAAAATTGTGAAAATGCTCGAAAAAAACCATTATGAAATCTGCAAACTTCTGTGAATAGGGTATTCCCCTCTGTAAATTAAAACTACAGTTCCTGTAAAACTTATGAAAAGGAGGAAAATCTTTTTTTCTAATAAGAACTTTTTTACAACATTTTAAATCCCATTTTTTTCAAAATTACCAACCCCACTATTTCAACATAATCATGATTATTTTGTTTTATGAAACATCCCCCGGGCTTACTCTGGGAATAATGTAAAATATTGCCTTTTTCTAATTATTTCTACTGTAGTGAGACACATAAAACCCTGGAATAGGAAGACGACTTTCAGACACAATTCATGTTTTTCTACAGTCCAATGAACATGAAATAAAGGAATTGTGTAGTGTTTGCTACGGCCCATTTCGTTAGATACGTTGATTTTCAAATTAAAATTATTTACTTTAAAATAACATCAAGTAAACAAATAAAAAATTAAATGTCGTCTTCCTCTTCCACAGTTCTATTGGTTTAACTGTAAAATTTCTGAAATAATCTCTGTAAAAAATATTTCCCCTGTAACCAGGAGATGAGGAGAGACTGAACCAACTCCAAGAGTTTAAATCCACCCATCAATCTCTACTTAGTGATCTCAACAAGCTCCCGGTCAGTTCGGATACCCGGAGAGTCAGGGAGAAACGAGCCCAGATAGAAAACCTTCTGTTACAGCTGGAGGAGGGGATAAGAACATATTCAAGACCAAAAGTTTTTATTAAAAAAGACGAATAGTAAAAATTGTAATTATTTATTGATTTGAATTCATTCCCTTTAGTTTTACAGAACGACCATGTATAAAATAAATTTATATTAAGTTTTAAGCTTTTTGAGATTATTCCTATTTTTTTATTTTGTAAGAGAACCTTAAATTCTTTAAATTCTATCTCTTGTCTCTGCTGCATATCTCCGCTGGAATTATTTATTTTTGACGGATTGTTAGTAATAAGTTAAATTACAATTAAAGATGGTCATGTCCCATGCACATCGTTACCCTGGAAACCTTTATCTGATTAATAATGTGGAAGACAATATCGTTTTTCATTTTGAAAACTGAAAAATTCTAATTATTCCGATTTTGTTTTTCTGGATTAGAAGAACTCAAGTCACTTTAAACTACATTATAAATATGGAGCTCATAATTCATATTGTAATCAGACATGGCTTCTATGGGTACTGTTGTGAACCGAACATGCCACTCTAATTTGAGGGTCACTTGAAATTATGTTTAAAGTCTCTTTAAGTATTCTTTAATCTAGGAGAATATGTCCCTGCAGCAGCTGCGTAAAGACGCTTTCCGTAAGCTGGCAAAGCTCTGCTCCAAAACTTCTATCATGGAGGATCCGTCCTTGCTGCCGGACGAGGCCAGGGGATTCGTCGACGATCCTAACTGGGACGCATTCCAATGCTGCGGATGCGGCAAAGCACCGCCCCGATAATCGTTAATTTGTTTTCAAATGTTTCTGTTCATTAGTAAGGGTTGTATTGTATATTTTCCTCAATTAATCCCCCCCCCCCTGTAAATTTTTAAAGAAAACTAGAATAGAAAACTATAAACAAACACATCTTGGAGAAAACCTTATTTTCAGAAGGGGGGGGGGGGGATTATTTAAGAAAATAAACATTCCTGTCTAAAGTACTATTTTTTTTATTTTGACGATTTTCTGGATTTTCATCAACGGTTTGAATTATCGTTTTAACATGAATAATGGTTTATTTTTATTTTTGTTTGCCAACTTTGCCAGCAACTTCTAATACACGATTTGTTTTAGAATGTTATTAAACTTCTAATAATTTTGTTATCTTTTTATACTATTTAAGTGCAAGTTTTGGTCAGATTTTATTTATGTCTCTGGGAAAAAGCTTTCAAAGCAGTGATCTCCTAACTCCCGTTTTGATTAAAAAAAAATTGGCGTAAAAATATTTTTAGTAAAAACTCGGCAACTAAAATTTTTTAAATAACATATTTTAAACTGACCTGTTTGAAAGCTTTTGAAATTATGTTGAATCCTCTAAAAACAAAACTAGGATTATTTTTTACATAAAGTTGAAACAGTTTTTTTGAGAATTCCAATCGTTTTTTTAAATTAAAATTTTTTTAAAATAACTTATATATTTATATTTGAAGAAACTTGCAATTTAAGGTGTTTAAATGCGCAAAGAAATCGTTACTAAGTCCACTAAAGTTCCTTTGTTCCTTTATTATTATTTTTTATAATTAAAATCATATTATAAAAGGGTAAACTTAAATATATTGCTTATTGTATAATATTATAAAATTATACTTATACCCCAAAATTCTAGTTGTTCGTCAAAAACTTGATTTTTCTCACCTAACAAATATTTTAAAAATCCTCCTGTGAAATCAAAATATATATATCGAGCTTCAATGAAACGTGTAAAAGAAATTTATATAATTAAACCGTTGTTTTCATATAAGCAATGTTTGTTAATTTCAGAATAAACTTTCGTTTTCTATATGTTTTCTATTAAATTTATTTAAAATTCTGGCCCAAACGCTGCTGCTAGGACAGGCTAGGGGGCCGGGCGCTGCGACCACAAGCCCATTTAACAGCTTTAAAACCACGTGCTAGTAGGTCGGATGTGTAGTAAAGCGGATTTGGCGTAGGTCGGGTTGCAAAATTCAAGGATTATAAGTTCAGAGTTTGGAGCACGTTTAAAAGATTAGGACGCAGTAATTCAGAAAACAAATTTTAATTACAGCTTTTACAATCCCGCAAATGCTATTTCGTTCGGGTCAATTGAAAAATTAGCTGATTAAACTTGCCAAATACAATCGCAAAACAATACAACACAAGACAAGACAATTTGCTCTTGATATAATAACTTGAGTGTACATGAAAGTTAAGAATGCTCGAGAATTATTCGGAAAATCCGGGAACAGGAAACCGGAATTCAGGAACCAGTCAGTCTCCTTCATCAACCATGAGAAGATGTGCTCCTGGATAGAGGCGGAAATAGGGGGGGTTACTACGGTTATTTACCCCCCCCCCCCACTAGAATCCTGTGGGTAATAAAATAAAATTTAAATGTGCTGGTATTTCAGATTTTAAGTCAACATATTCTAAATAATTCTAAATTCTGAAGTAAAAGCAAATGTCATTAAAATGTCATTACAATTAGATGTTTTTTTAATAGAAAAAAAAGGGTATGGGCAATGAAGAATACATTTTTACTTCTAAATAATTGCATTTTCATATTAGATATATTCAAGATCTTAACATACTACATTGACGACAAGAAAATTTTAGAAATTAGAAATTAGAATATAAACAAAGACAATATTTTTTCAAAGTTTTGCAGAGTAGCTTTTCTAAAGATTTAAAAAAGTAACAACTTTTTCCTTATGGAGAAACTATTTAAATTCAGTTTTTTTACAGATCTTTGTTGTTAATGTCAAATGAATGACTAAAATGAAGGATATAAAGCAAGGTGAAAGCTGAAAGGTAGGAAATGAAGCCTTTATTGATGGAGTTTGTAAATCCCAGAAATGAGTGGAAAATGCAAATCAAACCCAACTAATAACTATTAATTACTACTTAACCGGGAGATTAAGGGAGGATAATTAAATTGAGGGGAAAACCACTTAGCCGAGGGCCTCCAAGACCTTTTTGGGGTTCTAAACCTCAAGAGCGTAGCGAGGGAGGTTTAGTAGAGAACTATTTATTTGATAAATCTGTATGGATCACAGGGAGGATAATTACTTATCCTCCCTGTAAAGAGGGAGGATAAGTAATTATCCTCCCTGTAAATAGGGAGGATAAGTAATTATCCTCCCTGTAAAGAGGGAGGATAAGTAATTATCCTCCCTGTAAATAGGGAGGATAAGTAATTATCCTCCCTGGAAATAAAAAAAGGGAATTTAAGGTTGGTTATTTCGTTGAACAGGAGATTAAATAAATAATTTGATAATTGCTTGCCTAAAAGAAGTCTATATTTATTTTATTTGAAATGCACAGATTTAAAAATAGAAATGCGCTAAATGCGACAAAGAGCAACGAGTAACAGGTGAAGTTTTGTATCTGTTTGGAGCTGAAACGGCTGAATCAAATTTGCTAAAAATGAATAAAGAGCCTATTGGATAGTAACATGAATTTGTGTAAAATTGTTAAATGCAAAAACGTCAAAACTCCCGAATTGCTAAAAAAATGATGAAAGGGTGTAGATGGATGAGGGGAGGGTATTTGTGTATCTTTATGGAATTTCGTATTTTTGACATGAATCGTTACAAGAAATGTTTTTTTACGTGTTTTATTTCAACAGTGTGAGTCAAGGAGATATTACTTTAAATGTCTTTGTTATCATGACAAGTAAAATGTATTTGAAATCGTAATAATAATTTATGTAAAATATTTAACAGTTTTTAATTGAGAAACATTTAGAAAAACAAAAAGTGGTATGAACTCATTCCAATTTTATGTTTTCTAGTCGGTTGCATAATTTACTAATAAAACAGGAGAAAACTAGAACAATAATAGCAAACAACATCTAGGATTTTACAGCAAACCTTGTATTTTACAATTGTTATAGTTTGAACTCGAATATTTTTTTCTACAGTGATAACCAGAAAACTCTGGAATAGGAAGTCGACTTTTAAATTTAAGTTATGACTTTTAAACTTGAGGCATAGTAATTGTGCAACGAAAACAGACCCATTTTACTTAGTAAGTAATTTGATAACTTTCAAGTAAAGCATATGCTTTAAACAAGATCAAATGCACTTTAGAAATGCTATAATGTCGTCTTCCTATTCCACAGCTTCTGGTTATGACTGTAACACTTTAATGAATTGAATTAAAACATTGACTAGATTATATTTTTTAATTAATTTCTTTAAGACATTGGTATATCATGATTTGTTATTTCATCCAAATCAAATCATCAATAATATGGATTGAACAAAAATTTGATAACATAAATTGTATGAACTGAAAAAAATATAGTAAAGCAAAACTTAAACCTGATTTTAAACTTTTTACTCATTCAGTTAACCTCAGGTTTTTGGAACAAACTTTTCACAAATGTTTCGCGATCATTCGCTAATTTTTGGATTTATGGATAGACATGTGATTTGTAAATTTGATTAATTTTATTGTGTTAATGATTTTGATATCGCCTTTAGAATTGGTTTCTATTTATAAACATCATTTTATCATTACATACATTACACACTTATTGACAATATTGTCAGTTAACATTGGATCACTGTTTCCAGACTATAGGATATATCCCCTGAGCGTCATAGGTATAATGTTTGCATTTTATAATTATATATTAGTGTTAACCATTAATTTTAAAACCTCTATAAAATGTCGTCTTCTACTGGAATCTCCTGTCGGAGACAGCCAAACCAAATTTTCAGCCCGCAA